GTACTTTGGTTTGGATGCAAGGGAAAGTTGACCCAGCGTTTCATAGGACCTTATGAGATTATCGAGAGAGTTGGACCAATGGCTTATCAGTTGGCATTACCCTCGGAATTGGAACACATCCATAACGTGTTCCATGTCTCTATGCTTAGGAGGTATCGGCCCGACCCTTCTCACATTTTACCCCTGGAGCAAATCGAGGTGAGCTAAGATATGACTTATGAGGAAGAATCGATTAGAGTCTTAGCATGAAAAGTAAAGAAGCTAAGGAATAAATAAGTTCCCCTAGTAAAGGTCATTTGGAGGAACCAGGAAGTCGAAGAAGCAACTTGGGAAATCGAGAAACGCATGCTACTTCAATATATGCATCTATTCTACTAAGGTGAATTTCGATAATGAAATTTCTTATTAGGAGAAGAGAGTTGTAATGCCCCGAACCATGGGTTAGAAGTTTCGGGTTAACTCAATATAGTTTGGGCAAGCCCAATTGTCTTGCAAGAGAGCTTAGTCCATTTAGAATTAGAATTAGGTTTGGTTTAGGCTCATTATGCATTTAAAAGGGTATTTTTAACCTTGGCATGAAATTTGGAAGACCAAAATAGTAATTAGACCTTGTTTAAAATAAAAGTTGATTCCCTTAATTTTAAGATGATCTCACATCTGAACCTTCATACTCTTTTCACCCCCATTGCTTGTTTCATTCTCTTTACTCTTCATCTTCCTCCTTAATATCCAAGCCAAGCAAAGTTGGAAACTTTAAGAATTTCAAACATTCTTTGAAATTACTAAGGTAAGAATAATAACCTTCATCTTCCAAGCTTCAATTTGAGCCCCTAAGTATAAGTTTTGGTCATAGTTTCATAAAACAAGTTTTTGAGGGGTTTAAGAGTTCAAGGGTTCTCTAGCTCATTTTAGGGGATTTGAGTTGTAGGAAGTATCCTTAATTCAAACCTAAGCTTTTAAATGTGTTAGTAATTCATTTATCTTGACTTGTTTAGAGAAAGAAGTTGGTGAGTGCTCAAAAACTAAAGGCAAGGAGAAGTTACTTCTTAGGTGAGTTGAGAGAGTTTCCAATAGCTAGGGAACTAAGGCAACACATTTACAACTCTTACATACCATTAGTGGTCATTATAAATGCATCTTTAGCTTTTAAGTGGAGTGGTAAATCTTGCATGAATGTTCATGGTAAATTATACATTTTGATGTTTTAGTATGATTTCAAGCCTTCTTTATGATCCTTATGACTCACATAAGACTTAAATAATACTTGGGGACCATAATAGGGATTTTAGAGTAGCTAATGAGCCATTTTCGTGCCTAAGTAAGGTATTTCTGGGCCGGAGTATCGATATTGTAAGAACAATACCGATATTGCCCTTTTTTCTTGAAATTACAAGGTTTTTTCAAAGCACGAGTAATGATACTCCTTCATGGGGTATTGATACTGAGGTTACAGTCTCGAGACCCCCGAGCTTCGTATCGAGACCGATATTTCAGTAAGCCTTTTTGGCATTGATACTCATATAGGCTATCGATACTAAAGTAGGAGTATCGATATTGGAGGGTCAATATCGATACCAACGATCAGAGTTTGGGAAAATAGCCCAAAATTTAAGGGATTTTATGTGAGGGACCCAAGAATGCCTATATATATATACTCGGATAAGACTATAAGTGAGAACTGTTAATTATGAACAAAGTACAACTAGAAACAATATTAATTAGGATGATATAATACTAGCCTTGTTTGACGCTCATGAAAATATCAGGGACACTTGAGTTACTTTAGTAAATGATGTTAGTTATGAAGTATAGATTGTTCGGATATCCGTAGTTAGTGCACAAGGCACTTAAGTCTAACCATGGCACAAGGCCTCAACACTCGCAAAGGGTGAGTTAGTTAGGTGTCGAATCTGATGTAGTAATTTCGGATTCACATCCCCTGTAGTCTAAAGAGGTACATGAGCTCCAAGATGCATAAATCCCTCAACCGTACCATGATGTCTACTCTAGAATAACGTGAGTATGCGTGCATACTCACTCCAGTTATCATTATGTTAGCATGAGCATTTATGAACACTTTTAGTATGGCATTGTTGTTAGCGTGACACTGAGGTAGTGAGCTCAACATTCGAAATTGTGTTTTCATTCATAGGTTTTTAAGTGGAGCACTTGAGGAGCTGATCGCTTTGCAAATATTCTAAACAATCGAACACTTACAGTACGTATTGAGTCTACTTTATTAGAGGGCATGTATAATTCATAAACCTTCTTATACTTAAGTCGTAACTGATTTTAAATACTCGATTGTTCTTTTGATATATTTATTTTGAGAGTTCCCCAATACTATAAACTTATATTTATTTTGTATGGTTTTCATGGTTTCTAAATGGTTGTTATTCATTATATTATGAGTGTTTTGAAATAAAATTTTGGGGTTGCAACTCCGCTGGTCGCGTGTGACGTTCTAATCGGTTGACTATGTGTCGTATCGGATTAGGGTGATACACATCCGTTATCACAAGCCAAGGATAAAGCAACAATAAAATCACGAATCTCAGCCAAACTCAGATCAGCAACACCACGCATAGCTTGAGCTAATCCACATAAGACTCTCCCTCAGTGGTCACGAGGCCCAAATCCAACAACAATACAACCAGTACCCAGGTCAAAGGAACTGTTCAAATTGATCTTTACCACATTGGAAACTGGAGGACCCCAATAGAAATAAGATGCAGCAGACACCAATTCATCTAAACTAGCAATACCACTAGTACCATTACCATGGCGATGCGTGTGAGAAGCCTTTAGAAAATCTTGATGAAGAAAAAATTAGCAACAAGGATCCAAGCAGATTGTAACCTTTTATCAAACGGGTTAAGCTCATTCTACAAGTTCCAAATAAGAGTAATCAGACTAGCAAACTGTTCAATCCCCAACACAAGCAAACATTTCTCAAACCAAAACAATGGATCATCAACAGTACAAAGATAAATTTGAGCTGGAAAACCAGTGAGACGAATTACCTCCTATGAGCTCGAACACGAACATAAAGCATGCACCACCATCTCATCACTCATGCTGCATAAAGGACAAACCATCTGATAAACATGTTTGTTTCAATCGGCTACGAACAAGTAACGCCGCTCAAGCCTCCCTCCAAGTGAAAATCCAAATCTTCGGCAGAAATTGTAGTATGGAAATAATCTTCCATGCTTTTGAGATCGGTCCCTGCACATGAAAATGCCGTTGAAACCAATGATAAACAGATCATATGTAATAGATCCCAGAATCATGAAAACCCCACGCAATCATATAACACTGACTTGAAGCGATGATCATCGCAAGAATGTTATCTGCATCTTATGAACAAAACGATTGTTGCAATAAGTCTACATTCCATTTAGCTAAACCAGGAATCATAAAATCTCGGCAGTAGATTGGATTGTCAGTCGCATCAATATATGTACCTGCAAAGGAGATTTTAAAGACCCTTCCCCAAGGGTCTACATGTATTCGCGTAGGACTATCCTAACCGAATACTCCAGAAGAGGCTCTCTCGCATTGCAAGGAACACATGATGTATCCCCTTCCAAGCAAACGATCATTTATCACCAAGCTTGGCATGTAAAATGTCCCCATCCGGGAAATATTTAGCTCGTAACACCCTTTCCACTAAACTATAGGGCTCTTTAATAATCCGCCATACTTGTTTACCAAGTAGTGTTAGGTTGAAACTACGTATATCTCGAAACCCAATGCCACATACATTCTTTGGCAACCAAAGGCCAACCTCATTCAGAAATACGACCAGACCACCAAAACCACCACATAGTACTAACCATCTCTTGAATCAAATAATCTGAAAAAAGATAACAGGACATAACATACATTGGAATAGCTTGTCCAATCGATTTGATAAAAATCTCAGGTCCACCAAAGGACAAAAGATTTTTAGTCCATCCCAAAACACGTAGATAACCAAATGCATTGGACTTATTCCTTCCAATCACCAAAGGCATACCCAAATAATGACCCGGTCGGAAACCTCCGTGATTCCTAAGATGGATGGAATAGATTGACGATGATGGCCTTAAGTTTGAGGACTAAAATAAGTAACATATTTTTCTAAATTAACCTTCTGTCCAGAAGATCATTCATAGGCCAAAAGGATGTTCTCAATACAGTTAACTTCCGCAGAAGAGTTTTTTAAAAACATGATACTATCATCTGCAAACAAGAGATGACTAACTCGTTGTCCTGCTAGACTTGCTCTAATTCCCTAAATTTTTATTTATTATTAATTTGATGTGACCTATTTAATATTAAATTATTCGACGTCATTTAGTTGTTAGAAGAAAAGGATCAAATGATAAAAACTTTAATCTATAAAGTTTAATGAGTAAATTAAAAAATAGTGAAAAAAATAGGAGAAAAAATAAAATTTAATGTGTAAATTTATAATTTACAATTTTTATCTTTGAAAGAGATTCAAAATATGATTAGGGGACTTAAATATTTGGGATTTTTTTATTTAATGTTTTTAAAATTTGAACTTAACTTGGGATATTTTCAATCAACAGAAAATTATTTTGACATATTTCTTTTTACCTTTGATTCATCAATTTTAAAATTTACAAATATTCACATCGACAAATTTATATATGTAACAATATTTATAATAATGTCCAATTTCACACATTAATGAAAAATCGTAATAACTACAACTAATCATTATTATGATAAAGCAATAATAAATGTGTATATTAGTGAAAATTTAGACAAGAGATGATAATGATAATTTCACTAAATAATTTAAGAGAGTAATTACATATATAATTATATTACTTTTTTTATCAATTCCTTAAAAAAAAATAGGAACATAATTGAAGGGTATCATTTACGCTCAATTCAGTGGGACACAAATTGAATGATAGCATGGAAGCCCATTTAGCCCGATCTCAACAGGCATTTTCAAGGATTCAATCTCATTTCACGCCAATTCATCAGAATAAAAAAAAAAACAATGGGTCATATCTGCAAATCCTCTATGAAGTTCTTCTCCGATCAAGAGATCCGATATGCCGGCATCCTCCTTCCTCACGAGGTAATACTTCTCCATCTACCATGCATTCATCATTGTTTTTATTCTCTTTTGTCAATGATCCAAAAAGATGGAAATACCTCTGTTCCAGGTACAAGCCAGAATCCAAGCAGCGGTCCTCAATTTCCTCAAGGTTTTGACCTCTCCCAATCCTGCAATCTCCAATATCCCTCTGGTAACTTAAATTTTCCGTGTTTGGTTGCTGAGAAAAGTGAGGAAATATTTTTTTTCTGAGTTAAGTTTTTCAGTAGGAAATCGAGTAATAGTAAAATGAGTGAAGGGATCTTGACTGATGTTTCGTGGATTTTTCTATCTCACACTTTTTGTACAAGATCATTGATGAGAGCTAACGCTGCTAAGGCCTTTATTAGAGGTAAATGGTTCTCGGATTTAGTTTTTGCCCATTTTTCATTTTTTTTTTTCTAAATTAAATTGGTTCTTCATCTTAATATCTACTACAAATGAAGTGTGGAAGGTTATGGAAATGTGTTTTGAGATTCTGGTTCAAGAGAAACAAGTTACTCAGAGGGAACTCTTTTACAAGTTGCTCTGTGATTCACCAGATTACTTCTCATCTCAGTTGCAGGTCAATAGGACAATCCAAGGTCACTTATCTGAGTTCTCACTCGTTTATGAATAATATTAATGATTTCGCTCCATGTTTCTGTTCAAAGGAAAACTTTTCATTGTCAACTTAATGCTTGAACTGATTGAGAATTTTGTGCTAAAGATGTTGTAGCATTGCTTCGGTGCAGTCGCTACAGTCTTGGAATCATGGCATCTAGCAGAGGACTTGTTGCTGGGCGTATCTTGCTTCAGGCACATCAATTTCTTTCCTGCTTATTTTATTGCAATGCAAATATAGGGATTTAAATATTGCCTGCATTTTCATTTGTATTGCGTTTATCGCGATAGCGGACATAATTGGTGCTATTACGTCATTACGGGTATCGCTTTCGTTCAATAACAGTTTTGGATCTTACTGTTACTGCTATATAACGGTGCTATTCTGATGGTGGACCGCTATTTAAATCCCGACAAATATCGCTAATCATGCTGAGGAAAATAATTGATGAAATTTCATATGCTGCTTGCTTATTTGATTTCTACTGTGGTGAAAATACAGGTGACTGTTCTGCTTATTTGATTTCATATGCAGGAGCCAAACCAAGAGGATGTAGATTGTTCTGCTTGTGGCTCTTCTGGGTATGCAATTTCAGGTGACCTGAAGTTGTTAGAGAGCTTGATTATGAAGACGGATGCCCGCTATATTATTGTAGTTGAAAAGGTGCATTTTTTCATCAAAACCCAAAGTAGTCATCACTATCAATTTATTATCTCTGCATCCAATTAAACTACATTTTCCATGATTTTGCTTTAAAGCATGCAATATTCCAGCGATTGGCAGAGGATCATGTATTTAACCAGATTCCAAACATTCTTCTCACAGCAAAAGGCTACCCAGATATTGCTACAAGGTACCCATTTTCTAGCTTACTAAGTCTATTATCATTTGGAGATGCTTATTTGCAGTCACCGCCTTGAATGTTACAGATTTCTTCTTCACCGAATGAGTCGGGCTTTCCCAGATTTACCCATTTTAGCGCTGGTTGACTCGTATGATCACATAACCAAGGACTTCTTTTGTTGTGTCTTTTGCCCTTTATCCTTAGTAGCGGTTGCGGATGTTTTGAACGTTATGACGTGATTTGTTTGTTAAAAACAATTATGATTTTAAGTTGCGGATGCAATTATGATTCAGCGGTGACCTTAAAAACATTACAATATGACTGTTATGGTGGGTTGCGGTCGCAATTTAATACTAATTTCTTCTACATGGATTTTTCATTCTGGAATATATGTGCACCATGGACAGTGATGAACTTCAACTTCGAATCATTTCAGGAACCCGGGTGGATTAGCTATATTATCTACTTGTAAGTTTGGAAGCATTGGGATGGGTCTAGAGGCATATAGATACGGTATTATTTTCTTGCCGTCATGCCAATTTGCACTCATTTTCTTGTTTTCAATGTAAAAATTGTAATATTTTCTATGCACCATTCAGCTTGCAACGTGAAGTGGCTGGGACTGAGAGGGGATGATCTACAACTGATACCTGAATAGTCTTTAGCTCCATTAAAGCCACGCGACCTCCAATTCTCTAGAAGTCTGGTTTCCTCACCATTCTTGCAGGTACAGTACCTGTATAAGTTAATAGTAGGGAATTTAATTTGCCGTTGTAGTCTGTGTTTTCGGTTGTATTACGTTTATCGCGATTGCGATCGTAATAGATGTTATTACAGTGATTACGGATATCACGATCATGCAATAACAATATCAGACAATATGACTACCGCTGTATAGCGAGCAGTATTACAGTAGCGATGACGGCAGACCCCTATTTAATTCTATGGTAATTGATAAATATAACTTATTGTCTTCATTTTTTTTAGAGTTAAATAGTGATCTACAGGATAATTACAGGCAAGAACTGGAACTGATGATGCAGAGTGGTCGGATAGCAGAGATCGAAGCTCTGTATTTCCATGGCTACGATTATTTAGGTAAGTATATAGCAAAGAAAATTGTTCTTGCCAATTACATCTGAAAATAGTGGCAATTGTAAAAGAAAAGTATGATCAAAACTACCACCGGTAAAACAGAAATATTTAGATAGATTCTGTTGGGTTTAGGGTTCAAAGAGCTGGCAGGGTTGGTCTTGAATATTTTTAGGCTCGGGACGAAAATAAAAATTAGGCTCCTAATATAAAAAAATTAAGAAATATGTAATATAAAAAAATTTATTAGATTTTGTATTAAATTAAAAAAATAGCAATTCGTTACAATATAAAATATGTCAAAAGATATATTTAAGAATACAAATACTTATTAAAATAAATACATTCGATCATTTTTTTATGCAAAATCATTTATGATAATATCAACATCAATGTTTTCCAATATATTTTTCTCAATACATAACATAGCATTTAAAAATAAAATAACGATATTATCTAGAATTTAAAAATATATAAAAGTAAAAGAAAGAATTTAAAAATATATAAAATTAAAAGAAAAAATTTAAAAATGTGGTCTACTTAGAATTTTAAGAATATATTTAATATGATTTAATCACCATAATTGATAATAAATACTTATGACTTTACGTGTGAGAAAAATATGATAAATTAAAAAATGAAAATAATAATTTTTAGATGAATCGTGAAAAATGAAATAGAACAGAAGCATGTTAATTATACTTAAATTTTTTGTTCTTATTAAGTTTTGAAAATAATGTTAATAATTTTTTTTATTGATATGAAAAATTGGAAAAGATATTTGGTGAATTAATAGTGGGAATTTGGAAAGACTAAAATTAAAGAGTTTAATTGATTTTTTTTTTAAATTTTGAGAAAGAAATATTAAATTAGAATTTTATGGAAGAACAATTTATTAACGTTAATATAAAATTCAATAAAGATAATTTACACCTTAATAAATTTATGGGCCTCATTATTTTAGAGTAAATTATCTGTTTAGTGCTTATATTATCAGTTTTGGTCTGTTTTAGTATCTAAACTTTCAAATTTTCTCTAAACCATAAGTAAAGTTTAATTTTTTTTTCATTTTAGTATTCGATGTTAAAAACTTTAGTCTTTTTATTTCATTTTAGTACACATTCAAAATTTAACGTTAAGTTTTAAAAAATTTTTGAAATTTTGGTACTAAAACAAATCAAAACTAATAATTAGGTACTAAACGCGTTAAGTTTTTAATTACGGATACTAAAATGAAATGAAACTAAATATTATATATGATTTTGAAAAAATTAAAAATTTAAGTACCGGAATAGATCTGAACTAATAGTTTATGTACTAAATTCGTATATTACTCTATTTTATTTTACAATTTTTTAATTTATTATCAGAAAAATAAAAAAAATATTGTATTAAAAAAATTATTTTGTTGGCCATGGGCGGGCGTTCCTCCTGCCCTAGTCCGGGTTGGCCCTGAGAGCTGGAAGAGGGTTACCTTCCCAACCTAATTAAACAATACAAACGAAGAATAAATATTATTTAGAAAAATGAATTTCTACAAAATCATCATGAATTTTCAAATATTATAAAGTGATTTTCTTTTAAAATTTAAGGTGATTATTAAATAAAAATTGTACAGATTTTTACTTGATCGCATTCAGGACCTCTAGAAAAGAAAACATCATCTTCTACTATTGAGATGACTCGACAATTTCTTATAAAGTAATATTTAAATTTAATTAAACTATTGTAAAATGGTCTCTGTGGCATTATAAATAACAATAAGTTATAATAAGTTTAATGATTATTTTATAAAAAATTGATAAAGTTAATAATAATTAAGTGTCATGATATAATAATAATTTAATTTTTAAAATTTACATATTCTATCCATTGGTTGTTTTTTCTCCATTATTGTTTATTTTCATTGTTTATTACTATCGCAACGCCTAATTATTGATGATGATAAAATCATGAAGAATCATGAAGAATAAATAATTTGGAAGAAGCATAAACACTAAATTGATAAAGAAATATAAATATAAAAGATTAAATTAATTGTTTTTTTAAATTAAAATTAAATCCATAGAACATATAAAGTTTTAAAACTAAACTATTAATATACCAGATCACTAAAATATTACGTGTAATATTTAATTCTACGATTAAATGTTTGTACTATAATTTTTTAACTAAATGACCTGTTCGTAATTTGACTAATAATGAGTGACAATGGTATGTAGTTTAACCTATTAACTATCACCACAAACTGAGTCAACAGGAAACTGAAAACTTCAAACTATTCCAAAAAAAACCCACAGCTTTTTCGGGTTCTTATCCGAAAATCACCCTAACAGTGAACTATTACCTGTTAGACATTATTTCTTCAAATATTATCGAATTAGCACTCTTTTTGACAAAGCACGGATCATAAAACGTGCATTCGTAGGGTTCTGTTCGAGTTGATGTCACGGTGGAAAAGTGCGGATCATGAGATGCATCTTCGTTGGGTTCTGTCTAAGCTGGTTCTATGTTGGAAGGTACAGATCATGAAGTGCACCTTTACAGGGAAATCTGACATGTACAAGAAGGCGCGTATCATTAGGCGCGTCTTCCATTATTCACCTGCAATTATTATGCACTCCATTATTATCCGAGCCTTAAATATCGACTATTCACCCATTCCTCTCCCCTATAAAAACCTCGAATGCAAATATCAAACCACACCAAAATTACTTTTACATTTTTCTTTCTATCAAAATAAGTAGATTTTGTTATAGATTTTCGAAGGTAAAATTATTTTTTATTATATTATATTAATTTTATATTTAATTATTTGACTAAGTTTTATTGTACTAATTATTTTTTATTATTTTTTGTTATTGTAAAATGGAAGACGAGGTCATATCTCGATATATTTTTATCAATACAGTAACAATATTAAATTGTATTATTTAAATTATTGTGATTTTTTTTAGCGTTAGTTTATATTGTAATTCGTATATCATTTAATTAATTAAGTGTATTTTAGCTATTATTTTTGCAGATATAGGACTCACAATCTTTCAAACTCTCAAAATGAGACGTATTTTAGTTATTGTTTACTATGATAGAGAAATTCGGGAAGGTGAAACCGGTGTTGTCTTCGCATAAAATCATTCTTTCATAATATCCTTTAAAAGAAATATCACTCTTGAGGAGCTGATCACTAAAATTTTAAGGAAGATTCATGTTGGAAGTACTAGAAGATTGTCTTCACTTCAGTAAAAATTTCCAACTGCACTATTTTTGTTAACTTATACAGTGTTAGAGCGCTCCAATGACGACGATATTGTTATGATGGTTGATGTTCAGAATCAAAATTTAGACGTTGATACACAAATATATGCCACATTTGTTGAAGTGTATGCGGTTTGTGGTATGTCATTATGCTCTCATTATGGTCTGGCTCAACAAGTTAATCAAGTTGACAGCCCAACTCAATTAATGTGTAACGATTTTAACTCGTTAATGGGAAATTCACATCCTGGTACCATCCCATCAAGTTCATTGGGGAGACATTCATCAACAACTTGTTACGATCTCCACCGGGGTAGCTCTATGAGCAATTCGTATGACAACATCATTTCCAGGTCATGGGAATCCATTCATCTGTCAATTTCTTTGACTTGAATATGGAGATGCCATTGATACAACAATCTGTTCAATACCCATTTGACACGATGCCTTCAAGTTCCAAGGGGAGGCATTCAACTGCGAGCTTCTTCGACCTCAATATGCATGCGACACAACACTCAGTTCAAAACCCGTATAGCACGATGCCTTCAAGTTCAAGGGGAAGGAATTCAACTAACAGCTTGTTCGACCTAAATATCGGCATCACAGAGGAACCTTCATATCTACTAGAAGAACCTCTTTGTGAGACAAGTACGGATGGTGCTGAGATTGGACTATTCGTTGAGTCAGAATCATTGTAGTTCAAAATGAACTCCGATTATAATGATGTAGATGAAGTTCCCACAAATATGGTACACACGGAACCTTCAGCACACATGTATGAAACTAACTATGGTGCAATGTACGGGCCAAAATTTGCGGATATGCCTAATGTTAGTGACTACAGATTTAATTCATTAGTCTATGATGGTGAGTTATATATCGGAATGGAGTTTTCATACAAAGAAGAAACGATGATTGCAATTAATAATTACAACATTCGTAATTATGTTCACTCCAGAGTTGACAAATCCACCACCAAAAAGTATGTTTATTATTGTGTCTAACGTGATAATGGATGCAATTGGATGATTCATGTATCGAAGAGGAAGAGAAAAAACAACATATAGGAACTAACAACATACAAATTTCCTTATACATGTTGTGCTAGAGGGATCAACCAGGATCATCCCAACTTAGACTTCGACGTTATCTGCCAAGCCATCATGCTCATGGTCAAAGCAAGCTCCCATATAGCTATTGCGATGTTGATTTCAACTATATAGACTCAATATGGGTACATTGTCTCCTACTAGAAAACATGGAAGGCAAAGCAGAATGTCATTAAAAAACTTCACGATGAGTGTGATTCGTCTTACCATGAATTACCAAGTTGGTTTAGGGTAGTACACAAACTGAATCCTGGGATAATAATCGACTTTGAAACTTGTCATGCATACCACAATGATCGAGTGCTT